GCACACACATGCTCACTGTTTGCACACACACGCTCACTGTTTGCACACACATGCTCACTGTTTGCACACACACGCTCACTGTTTGCACATACACTCTCACTGTTTGCACACACACTCTCACTGCACACACATTCTCAATGTCTAAGGCTTGAAAGTAATGGCAGTGCAGAGTTCCAAGGGGATCTTATGGGGTGCTAAACTGTTAGCTAAAGATATTTGTGTGTGTATACATGCCAATGCCTATGCATCTGTTCACGTGTGAGGGAGAGGAGGGACTGTATGGACGATAGGTATGTGGGCATGTGTACATACAGAGATAGGCACGTGTGTAGGAACATGTTAGAAGCTCATAGGCAGCCTGTGTCTATGAGTCCATAAATACTTCATTAAGTAGCGTCTCAGAAGAAAGGTTGTGAGTTCTTCCTAGACATATCTGAGTCTCATTAAAAGGAGTAAAAAGGAAGTCTCTAACTCAGGTTCCAGGGTTAAGGAAACAGCCCAAATGACCAAAACTCTGACTGCTCCCTATTTGAAAAATACGCTGGCAGAAAACCCCTGTGGTTCCCCACTTTTCTCCTTGAGCTCTTACATGTCCTCTATTTGTCCCTAAGGTGCTGTGTCTGATTACTACACACCACTCACCATGAATTCTTGTGAATAATGGCTAAAGAGCCAATCCTCCGAAGTCAGTGGGATCAGCGATCACCTGTACTTAGTGTTTCACCATGCTGGATTAAGAAGTCATGCTCACAGCTGTATTGCATGTCTTTAATCCCAGCACTCAGGAGGCAGAGGCAGGTGGATATCTGTGAGTTCCAGGCCAGCCTGGTCTACAGAGCGAGTTCCAGGACAGCCAGGACTGTTATATAGAGAAACCTTGTCTTGGAAAACAAACAAACAAACAAACAAGCAAGCAAACAAGTCAGCTCAGCCGTGTGTATCACTCATGGATTACGAAGCTTGTGCTGGAGGATGTCAAGGGTTTGTAGAGACAGCCAAGGTCTGTGTGTTTCATCCTTTTTGTAACGTTGAAGAACTACTTAGAGATAAAGAGCAAGCTGGTGCTGACCCTGGATATAATGTGCCACCTTGTGCAACACAAGATTTTTCTACCCACTGACAATTTACACCAAATCCAGTAACTGTTGAAAGGTTTCAACCCATCTCTTACTGAGTAATGCATCCATTTGTCAGTGCACTGTTTACAGTGGGAACATCCACAGACTGAGAGTGTTGAGGCTTCTGCCTGTACAAAATCAGCCAAGGTCCACATGCTGAGGCCACCTCAAATGACCTTCTCAGAGCACTTCTGTCCTCGCCCACAGATGTCCACGTGTTGGCTACGTATTCATGGGAAAGTTATCAATCCAGCCTCATCTGGTCTCCAGTGGTTAGAACCAGCAACGTTCCAGAGAGCTGCTGGAGATGACTGCCTCATAGTCATTGCTGTTTAACGTTCCACAAGCTCAGTTAGGAGGGAAAACACAAATGGAGAGTTTCCTGAAGGGCACATGGCTATGCTTCCCTTTGGACATTCTAAATCTCTCTGTGGACTACCCACCATCCCTGAAGAGAGTCACACCGGGGCCGGGCAGAACTGCTTTCTCTGATCAGGAGACATGACTGGCCTACAGTGAAGGATATCGAGCAAAACGGGCCTATGCAGCCTGCCGCTGTGTTTACTATAAAATCAGTGACACACTGTCCCCTCCAAAGGGCCCACGAGCAAGTGTCTTCCTGGCCAGGGTATCAAGAATACCTCTGGAAGATGGCTCAGCAGGTGGGAATGCCTGCCGCCAAGCCTGACGACACTAGTTCAAGACCCACGTAAGGGAGGAAGGAAGAGGAGTCACTGCAAGACTCCTGCAAGTTGTCCTCTGCACCCATGCTGTGTCACACACGGGAATGCATGCGTATGCACACGCGCATACACACACACACACACACACACACACACACACACACACACACACACACTAGATAGATAAATACAGGTAAATTGAAGGTCTTAATTTAAAAAATAATAATTTTGCTTTTGACTAGTCAATTTTTAAATCAAGGAAACTACATATGTTCTAACTGATCATGTTTCACACTTTGTTTTGTTTGTTTGTTTGCTTGGTTGGTTGTTTTTTTTTGTTTTGTTTTGTTTTGTTTGTTTGTTTATTTTTGAGTCAGGGTTTCTCTCTGTAACAGCCCTGGCTATCCTGAAACTCACTTTGTAGACCAGACTGGCCTTGAACTCACAGAGACCCTCCTGCCTCTGCCTCCCAAGTGTTGGTATTACAGGCGTGCGCCACCACTGCCCGGCTCACACTTTGCTTTGTATAACAAGCTCAGAAACAAGTCTGTTGTCTGCTTCTTCTACTGGAATAAAATTTGCTGGCATGCGGACATATCCTCCAAACATTACAGGCTATTATGAATGCTATTGGTTCCCCCCCCACAACCAGAGTATAGGACCCTATTGCTGAAGACACCATTTACTTATGCCATCAAATGTGGAGAAATCAAGCTGGTTCCCGACTAGAGGCTTCAACCCTACAAACTCTGCAACCTACAAGGGTGACCCCTTCAAAATACACTCGTACAACAGCGGCATAAAGGTACTGGGAGTAACCAACCACTGATTAAAAATTAGAGGTGAGGCTCATTCCATGCCAAGGAACCCACACTTGATATCACCAAGGAGGCCAAGGCACTAAGACTAGATAGGTCATGGGCCCCAGGTGAGAACCTACTACTATAGCAGTAAAACACCCTGTGATGCCATACTGCGATATATCTATAGATCAGTGCATGGCTCACCCCTCATCAGAAATGCCTCCGCTTGAAGCCGATGGCGATTCACACAGAGACCCACAACTGGACACTGTGCACACAATGAGAGACCCTGGAGCACTCAGCCCTACACGGGGTATCTTTATCAAACCCTTCTTCCCAACGCTCATGGATCTATGCAGAGGAGGAGGCAGAAAGACTGTGAGGACTAGAGGCTGTGGATGACTCTAAGGAAACAGCATCCTTCAGACACAACAGGGCTGACGCACACCCTGTCAACTCACACAGGACCTGTACAGATTCATGCCAGACAAAAGCTGGGCACAGAGGAGGGGGAGTGGACACCAAGCTTTTTTGGGGTTGTGATTTAGTAATTTTTTGACTTTTGTTTTTGGTTTTTCCTTTTTTTTTTTTTTTTTTTTTTTTTTTTGGTTTTT